CGCTTCCATTATATGTATATAAACGACTAAAAGGAACAAACGAAAATGGTGGAGTGTCTCTATGTATAGAGATCCAAAAATATGTGAAGAGCCACTTACATTCAATCAATAGAGCTTTACACCAGCTCAGAGATTCTGTGCATGGTCAGAACAATCCTGCCTGAGGATATATGGTATGTCGTCCTCTAAGGAATGTACGGCCTTTACCAGATAAGACATAGAGCTTTTCCCAGAGCAATCTGAGGGTATTGCTCAATCATTAGCTACTTAGTAGCACAAATACACACTACGTATATTACCAGGAGAGGTGTATCATGGATGAAAAGATAAAAAAAAAATCAGAAAAATAAATTTTCAGGAGCAAAAAATAAAAATGAACATTATTTAGAGCTATAAAACAATAAAGGATTATAATAAAACCACTAAAGCCTAAGGGCTTTTTCACCTTAAAGCCTAAGGGCTTTTTCACATACTTTAAAGCCTCTTCAAGCCTCCTACCTACATTGTATAGACCTGGTCCCAAGAGCCCCTGAAAGTGGCTATTGATACTGTGAGGTGGGGTATGGGCACTTACTGTGCTTCCCAGTCAGATTTGAGGACCTCTGGGTGGGTGTCACCTAAATTAATTTAACACATTGAGTTTTACCCTGAAACACTCTAGAACTGTTCCTTGGATCGGAACTGTGCCGAGGTCCAGAAAATCTTTAAGCAATTATTGCTCAATACCCCGACCTCCAAACAGAATGTTAATTGGAGGGCAGGTCGAGGAGACAAGAAGACATCGGAGGATGGCTGGGGCTTCAGAGCGCTCCTTTCCCCAGAGGTCCGGAAGAACAGACCTAAACTGCCACACGTCTGGAACTCTTTGCCAGGTCAGAGAATAGCCGACCTAGCTGACCTACATATTTAGGCATCTGTTTAGTAGAGGGTACCATTCAACATAATATTACACATACTCAGCCAGACTCAATCACCTACATGATATGTAAAAGCAGATTTGCGACGTATATCAGCAAATTCCTTTACCGAATTGACACACCATGTGATAAGCTGGAAGTAAGTAAAGCCGCCAGCCTCCTGACATCACTAAGTGAGAATTCCTGGGAACTGAAAGTGGATTATAATTCTGAATTTAAAAATTTAAGCCAAAATAGCCTTATTAGGAATATTCTCCAAATCAATTCTATTTTCACTTTAGCTATTTTGGCCTACATTTGAAATCGTTTAAAATGTGTGTGTATACCGTTAAATTTTTTGTCAGCTCTCCTGCACTACTGAGGGTTACTACAAACTAGGTGGATTAGGCTATGGAGCCTGTGTAGCTCCCTCTGTTGGTAGCAACAGCAATATGCACTACTTGAATAGCATGGCTGGTTAATTTGCATATCCAGGTAGATTTGCATATTGCAAATTCTGCAGGCAGGAGAAATATTTTGCGCTGGTGGTTGTCTTCATCATCCCTTTATAAATATGTTATTATGCTATTACAAATTCCTGTATATGTTGTGATATGTTTTGGTAATTTGAATTTTATTATTTTTGACACAGCAATGTTTATGTAATGATCATATGGGCTAGTCCCAAATAAATAAAGTTTTGTTAGTTTATTTTGGAACTTGTATCCTGTGTGGATTTTTAGACAGAGTCTTCAGGACTGAATGTTGGCTGATGGATTCCTCTAGCACTGGGATAAGTCAAGAGAGGTAGGCCTTAGAGCCGCAAGTGCCTTTGTAAAGGCAATAGCATACACTAGAAGCAGGGGAATAGGCCCAGGGGACAATACCTGCCTGGAAGCAGGGTTGTAGTGGAATAGGCAGAGGGGACAATACCTGCCTTTAAGGCAAACTGCAGCCTGGTTGGTGGAAAAGCTCCAGAAGGATCCCAGTCAAGCTGTAGCGACTGGGACAGAAGTGCTGCAGGTTTCCCAGTTCCAGCTAGGGAGCAAGCTTGGCAGAGGTACCCAGCTGGAGTACAGGGAGCTCCATCACACCAATGTTTACCCATAGGAAAGAATAGAGGCTATTGCACATGTGCTCTGCATGGAGACGCTGAACGCCAGTGTGGCACACTGCAGCACCGACTCAGGAAGCACCTCTAGTGACCGTCTGAGTGACTGCCACAAGAGGTGTTAATGCCTGAAAAAGCAGTGTTTACATTAAAAAGCCTGCAGGGATAGGTTATATATACCAGAACAACTGCATTGAGCTGTAGTTGTTCTGGTGACTATAGTTTCCCTTTAAGCTAGGATCTGTTTTTGTAGCCAATCGAATTTACCCACAACCCCCCCCCCCAAAAGGTATGCCACTGAAAGCAAAACAGCAGACACCTGGGAAGAAGAAAAAGGTTCCGCACAGATATTGATGTGGGGCACAAGGAAGAAAAGAGATTTATATAAATAAAGCCAAGAAGTGGTGGCGGTGGGAGAGGGGGACAATTGTCTGTACTCCTTCCAAACAGTGCATTATTATGCTCACACCTGTCCAAAGCTCACACCTACTCTTCTTAGTTCTTCTGAAGCTACCTATCAAGGGAGTAGGGATGAATCAATGGGAAGGAATTTTCATGCACATCAGGTCGAGAACGATTTTCTCAGTAAGGTGGACATTTGGCAAGCGGATATGAACTGCAGGTAACAAATTTACAAAAAAATCCAACATTTCCATCGAATTATATGCTGCTGAAACAGATTATTTGCAAGAACAAAGAATCTGAAACATCCAGAGGGATATATCTTCCCTAGTTTTCACAGCACAGGTTTATGATATCAGCAAGATGAGCTTTTTTAATGGATCTGTATTACTGTCAAACAGAAAACACTGTAATAAAACGCGCAAGTCTGTTTTGTGTCGAAATGCCGTGTGATGTCATGTTGATAGGTCCGCCAGGAGTCGTTAGATCCAGTGCAAGCAGTCCATGAGATTTAATTCTGGACTTTCATGTGACCTTTTGCTCCATTAAACCCGTGAAGTCATTGTTACATTTTTTTCTTAATAAATATACAAAGAACGAAGAGTTCACACACATCGTTAAAGAGTATGGATATATAGAATGTACAAATAAATCTGCGGCTGGAAACTACATGGTATTAAAATGTTACTCATGCTTCCCAGCAAGCGTTCATGCCTTCAACCGGAAATATTTATGGACTGAGAGATATGAGGTCAAAATAGCACATTGAAGAAAAGATACAGTAATAATGCAGTTATAGAAACACTTAGGACAGTGTGATGTATAATGAAAAACTGGTTCTCTTTTGTCATGTGTTGCCCCCTGAAACATGAATATTAGCAGAGAAACATTCAGATGTATATACTAAAGTGAGGATAGTTGGGAATTCCAAGACAATTCAAAGTGAATTTTATTTAGAAAGGGTTACTCCATCCTTTTTTAACCATATTTTCTTTCGTTGCGTAATGCCCATTATTCTTTACCTGATATCCAGCACCAATGGAAGTTCCTGTCCAATGTCACAGTCTCCCTCTCCCAGGTCCAATTAAATGCTTCTCAAAGAGAAGCATTTTAATTGGACTATTTGACCAGCCCACAGCACATGGTACTCTGAACTGGTAAGGGGAAGGGAAAAAACAAGAGATGGAGGCAACATCAAAAAAATAAATAATGGTGGGCATAGAGAGGTGGGTAG